TGAAGTTGATTTCATTTCTTCCTGAAGATTGACAAGTATGTTTCAACTTTTTATCAGTTTTTTTCTGTATGCACACAACCTGTTTGTTCATATGCTTGATGTTCTAGGGTTCTTCATTCAAATGGGTTCTCAGTTTTACTTCAACAAATTTCATGTTTTCAATTCATAGTTCTTAAAAAAATAAAACCTTCCGCAGTTCTGCTCCTATGCTTGAATCTTGATGTTCTAGGGTTTGAGTTCACTGTCTGAAAATATAACCTCGTTTTTTGGGGTTTCATAAACGGATCTTAAAATTTCATTCAATGTTCATTTAATTATTTACCTATACATCCACGATTCATGGCCTATACTAAATTTGGTAATGTCAGATTCTCGATATGAAGCTTTTTTGTGGTTTATTTTGTACATCTACTTAATAATTGAAAACGATGATACATGATACATCTATTCTCATTTCTTCTGCAGATCCAAAAGGGAAGCTTTCCAGAATTTATCATCAATCTTAATTCAACTTCTTAAATTATGATGTCAAGATCTTACACCAATCTCTTCGAACTCGCATCCGGTGAAGCCCCATTACCATCATCCGGATTTGGTCGCCACATGGGAAAAAAACTTTCCCGTGTGGCGACCGTCCCAGGGGTATTATCGGAACTAGACGACGAAGGTTTTAGTTCCGATGCCCCATCATCCGTTTCCCAGGATCGGATGATCCTGGTCGGAAACCAACTCCCGCTGCGGGTCCACAAGACCCACAGCGGGAGTTGGACATTCAGTTGGGACGAAGACTCCCTTCTGTTACAACTCAAAGACGGGCTCAACGAAGACGTAGAAATAATCTACATCGGTTGTCTCCGCGAAGAAATCGACCCGAAAGATCAAGATGATGTGGCGCAACATCTACTCGAAAATTTCAAATGTGTCCCCGCATTTATACCCCCAGAGCTTTTTAGCAAATTTTACCACGGGTTTTGTAAGCAACATTTATGGCCATTGTTTCATTACATGCTCCCGTTATCACCGGACCTCGGGGGGCGGTTTGACCGGTCTCTTTGGCAAGCGTATGTTTCGGTCAACAAGATTTTCGCAGATAAAGTTATGGAAGTAATTAGCCCGGATGACGATTTCGTTTGGGTACATGACTACCATTTAATGGTTTTACCTACTTTTTTGAGAAAAAGATTCAATCGGGTCAAACTCGGGTTTTTTCTCCATAGCCCGTTTCCGTCTTCCGAAATTTACCGGACCCTACCGGTACGCGACGAGCTTTTGCGGGCCCTACTCAATTCCGATCTTATCGGATTCCATACTTTTGATTACGCCCGTCATTTCCTTTCATGTTGTAGTAGAATGCTCGGGCTATCTTATCAATCCAAACGAGGCTACATCGGGCTCGAATACTACGGTCGAACCGTAAGCATCAAGATTTTACCCGTTGGAATCCATCTAAAACAACTCCGGAATGTTCTTGATCTCCCGGAAACCGAGTCAAAAGTAGCCGAGTTACGCGACCGGTTTCACGGTCGAACCGTGTTACTCGGGGTTGATGACATGGACATATTTAAAGGCATAAGTTTGAAGCTTTTAGCTTTCGAGAATTTGCTGACTCATCATCCCGAAAAGAGGGGTAAGGTGGTTTTGGTTCAAATCGCAAACCCGGCCCGCGGGCGTGGACGCGATGTTCTCGAGGTGCAATCGGAAACACATACGACCCACGAACGGATCAACCGGAAATTCGGGCGACCCGGATACGAACCCGTAATTCTAATCGATAGCCCGCTTCAATTTTACGAACGGATCGCGTATTATGTCATTTCCGAATGTTGCCTAGTGACAGCTGTACGAGACGGAATGAATTTAATCCCGTATGAGTACATCATCTCTCGACAAGGGAACGATAAGCTCGACGAAACCCTAGGGGCAAATCCGTCAATTCCGAAAAAAAGCATGCTCGTTGTATCCGAATTCATTGGGTGTTCACCGTCTCTTAGTGGTGCAATACGGGTCAACCCGTGGAACATCGATGCGGTTGCGGAGGCTATGGATATGGCTTTGATCATTGCCGAACCCGAAAAACAAATGAGGCATGAAAAACATTATAGATATGTCAGCACACATGATGTGGCGTATTGGGCCCGCAGTTTTTGGCAAGATCTAGAAAGATCTTGTAGGGATCATGTGAGGAGAAGGTGTTGGGGGATCGGGTTCGGGTTGGGTTTCCGGGTCGTCGCGTTGGATCCAAACTTCCGGAAGCTTTCGGTTGAACATATTGTTTCGGCTTACAAACGGACTAAAAAACGCGCTATTTTGTTGGATTATGACGGGACTATCACGGTTCAGAATTCAATCAGCACCACCCCGAGTCCGGAAGTTTCCGGAATGTTGAATAGTTTATGTAAAGACCCGAAAAACATTGTTTTTATTGTGAGTGGGAAAGATCGGGCTACTTTGACCGAATGGTTTTCATCATGTGATAATTTGGGTGTTGCTGCTGAACATGGTTACTTCTTGAGGTACATATGCAAGAAATAGCAACATTTTTTTGTTTATTTGTGATTTTTATTTATTTAATATTATTTTTATTTGTGTAGGGAGAATAAGGAAGCGGAATGGGAAACTTGTATTGCGGTTCCCGATTTTTATTGGAAACAGATAGCAGACCCGGTTATGAAATTATACACAGAAACAACAGACGGGTCGACAATTGAGACTAAAGAAAGCGGGTTGGTTTGGAACTATCAATATGCGGATCCGGATTTTGGGTCGTGTCAAGCAAAGGAGCTTTTGGATCATTTGGAAAGTGTTCTTGCTAATGAACCCGTTACAGTCAAAAGTGGTCAAAATATTGTTGAAGTTAAACCACAAGTTAGTATTCTTTTTCCCTTATATATTTTTTTAAACAATAATAGCTATGTACTTATGTTTTTTTTTTTTTTTTTTGAATAGGGGATTAACAAAGGGCTTGTTGTGGATAGACTGTTGACAACAATGAAAGAAAAAGGAATGTTGCCTGATTTTGTGCTTTGCATAGGGGATGACAGGTCAGATGAGGACATGTTTGAGGCGATCACACGGGCAGTTGCGGGCCCGGCTCTGTCCCCGGTGGCGGAGATCTTTGCTTGCACAGTGGGCCGAAAGCCCAGCAAGGCCCGATATTTTCTTGAGGACACAACCGAGATTTTGAGAATGTTGCAGGGCCTTGCTGCTGCTTCGGAGAATTGTATGCTAAAGAATGTAACAAAAGGTTTTCAGAAAGTGGTCATGGAGTAAGGGGAATTTACGGAAATGCCATTGTTAGTGTTTGTGGGTGTAGGGTTGCATGTGAATAATTATTATCTTCTCCGAGGTCACCATTGATGGAGAGGTTTCGGTTTCATGTTTAGAAGGTTTCTGTGAAATTTGGTATTTTGTTATAGAGAGAGAGAGAGTATGTAGTTGTGTAGTTTGTAGTTTGAACTTTTGAAGTAAATAAGTTGGCTTTTGGTGATTTAAGTCAAACTTATGGATATGTATGGTCAACGCGCTTTATGTATTGTTTTGGTTGTTTGATATTTTCATTCTTACAGTTTTGTTTAACTAAATATGAAAACGGAAAAGTGTATGTATGTCCTTGACAATATCAAGCTAGAATAATAACCATTGAGAGCGTATATTGGCAAAGACTTCACAAAAATTTCTCAAATCTTTTCGATAATTACCCCTAAATCAGAAAAGGATTTTTTAATTAAGATATTTTGTCTTTCCCATTTTTTATTCTTTATCAAATAATCTGATCTGATGTACATACGTATTTAATTGATTTTATAAAACCTTCCTTTGCCATTATGATGATCCTGTACCACATGCCCCATCGCCATTCAATGCACAAGTTGTGGCCTTCCTCCTATAAATGGAAATGTGGACCATTACTTTTTTCTTCTATGACTTACCCTTTGTTAAACAAAAAAATGTGATATGCAATTATGCATCCTCTGTCACAACAGGGGATGAAACAAGGGATATTTTGATAATCAAAATGGTTCCTCCATCTTTTTATTGATTGTGTAAAAAATCACTTTCCATATTTCACTATTATGTATGGGTCGCTCCGGTTGTCAATAACGATCACAACGATCGCTATAGCGAATAGCAAGGCGAGGCGATGCAGTGTCGCTATGGGGTTCATAACGACATAGCGACCTATTTATTATTATTATTTTTTTTAAAATGTGGTTAAATAGATATGTTTTAGGGTTTTTAGTTAACTAAGGCCTCGTTTGTTTTTCTACAAAAGTACTTTTTGAGCACTTTTCCCTTCTGGCGGGTAGATGTTTCGCAAGTGCACGTCTTCTTCCGCAAACATGAAAAAAGACAAAAGACATTTAATCACTTCCAAAACAAACAACACCTAAGTCAAAGAGAGCATCGAATATCTATAATTAACATTTTTTTTTCTTTTGTAATATGCATGTTTTAGAACTTATTTGAACTAATAGTCTTGGTTTTTAACTTATTTATTAGTTATAATTGCTAATTAGGTGAAGGTAAAAGTAGTATTAATTTTTTAATAAGCATTCGCTAAAAATGAAATAGCCGTCGCAATTTTATTGCTATCGCTACATAGCATATATGTATGTTGTCACTATACCTCACTATCACTATCGATAACAATGAATATACTTTAGGATAATCAACGAAAGACATTTTCAAATTTAGTTGCTAAGAAAGTAACGTACCTTAGTTGTGTAGGAACTTTAAATTCTTAGGATGGATGACATCCATCTTTTCTATCCTTCAACCCATTTGTCACATCATTTTTACATTGGTTTTTCTTTTTCATTTTTTTTTAAAATTTTTTTCATCCCAGAACACATAGAAAAACATATACCCAATCATTCTGACCAATTCAACTTTTAATTTTAAAATAAATAAGAACGAATTAAGATTATAAAAAAATATTAAAAACATACATAACCAATTCACAAAGTAATTAAAAACATACAAAACTATTTTGGTACAAGTCTTAATCAATGATTTACAATTAATTGGAGAGAGAGAGAGAGGGTTCCACAACCCGCAATCAACTTCTTCTGGCGGTACCACCCCTCCTCAGAATTGTTCCCCGATGGTATCGACGGTACTGCCAACTGTCTGCCTCAGCCCGTCATCGATACCCTCACCTTTAGGAGTTCCAAAAGTTGCATTTAATATCAGAAAATAAGATAATGATGACGAAAATAGAAGCTTTGGAAGTTAAAAATAGTTACATGCAATTATATATTCGTGCAACTGTCAAATCAATTTGAGATGACTAACCAAATTGACCGAGCTAGGTTTCAACTAACCAACAAAAATGACCAACTCCGTTTCAAATTGATTATTCAAACCGACCGAGTTGGTCCAAACCAACAAATTCAATTTAAAACACAGAAGTCATTTTTTTGATGTTATGCTAAACTTTCACTTTTGCTAGAGTTTTTCTGTCACATTTTTAGTCCAAAATTGTGTCCAAGTTAGGTTTCAGGATCTGCTCCCTTGACCCCTGTCATTCTTCGTCGCTGAAGGAATCAAACTCGTCTTATATAATTATGTACTAATACCACCTAACTTTAGTAGATCACATGTTGGGTCCCTTTGCACTCGTATAAATTTTAATTACATCAAATGAACACTTGACAGTAAAATCACAACTCTTTTATATGTATACAAGAATTTATTTGAAAATTAATTTCATTAAGAAGTTAGGGTGTTTAGAGTCATTAGTTTCAAGATTAGTTTTGCTATATTTTCAAGATTAATTCCACCAAAAGTTAGTGTGTTTAGAAGCTATAATTAGTTTCAAAGTTAATTACACAATATATCATGTTGGTGATTTCCAGTATATCACCATATTTTAGTGTAATTATACCACATCATGATGATATAATAGTTGGGTATGTCTTATAACCACCATTGTAACTACCTTTTTTGGCACCATTTTGTGTATAACCAACTTCCAACCGCCATCTTCATTCTATAAAAGAAAGATGGATGTTCCCTGGAAAGGGTGACATTTTTTATACCCGAAATTGATTATGTGAATATCTATATCTATCAAAAACGCAAAATAGCAAGATATTTTTCTGTTTTTCGAATTTGGAAGTGGCCTGAATCTAAATTGTCATTCTTTGATTATCCTAAATTGGATTTCATGATATCTAGACAATAGGGTCGAAATCACAGATTTTAGAAAGTGATTGCAATAACGATTATTGAATTATCCAAATATATATTGATATTTTTTAGACCCAAAATCTAACATATCATTGCCATAATGTGATTTTGATTTTTTTGTTAGAACTTTTAATTTCATGTTTGTAGGTTTAAATTTATGTCAAACATCGTTTAAAACCCGATATGGCTTGCTATTGAAACCCTTTTTCCAAAACACATTCAAAACCAATTATCTAAATGTGACACGACAATAAAATTTCTAGATTCGAAACAGTACAAAGTAGACATTTATCCAAATACATATTGTACAAGAGTGGTTCTGACTTAGCTTTAGGACTAATTTGTTCTTAGTATTTTATCTACTTGTTAACGAATCAATCTAGTGAATTCATTCAAAAGAATGACATATATCCAAATACACTATCAATGTACCTGTGATTTCATATATCCAAATACACTATCAATGTACCTGTGATTTCCTCCTATAAACAAACAACACTATGGTTCACCGGTGTTGCTTATCATTGTTGGGATCACAGATGCCAGCCCTATAAAAAACAATATGCTGATTGATTGCATGTCGTATAGATCTCCAAGCGATTGTAGTTCACCAAGTGCCATTCCCGCCTGCACATTGGTTAAAAGGGTCAACTCCTTACAATGGCAAAGTATTTGGGACCCATAGAACATGATAAACAATATCTTTTGGTATGCATTAGTGAAGCAATCTATTATCTTACAGTATGCATCACAAAATACTAACAACGATCAGACAAAATATGTAACTTTTTTGTCCCACCTATACTCCCGATCTCTCACGTATATGTAAAAGACGTAAATGCCCTTTCATTTTATTCATTAGAAATAACCCTCTTTTGTCATGTATCAATCACCTCTATCTAGGCCATGTCCCATCTTGTCTTTCTCGAAATTAACCAAGAGAAATTGTCTTCTAAAAAAGAGAGAGATTACCCTAACGGTGATAAAAGCAACCGGAAGGAGGCCAAGAGAAGTTGCCAACAGAAACGTATGAAAAGGCACATTTACAAGTGGAGATGCAATGTTAATAAAGGCGTTTGGCAACGTGGGTGTCACCCTTAGAAAAAGCATGTAGTTTAGTAGCCGGGTTTCCCTTTTCGCCACCTGAGAAAGAGAAACACAAAGTCATGCATCATATTTTATATATATATATATATATATATATATATATATTAAAGGCATGAAGTTAAAGAGGAACTGACCTGGTTTTGGAAGAAAACCAGTTTATCAGGCCAGAGAGACAAGATTAGAGGGCGGCCGATCAAATTAGATAGAAAGTAACAGGAAGATGCTCCGGCGGTGGCAGCAAAGACAACGAGGGCTAATCCTTTTAGGACCCCGAAAAGGGATCCGGCGAGTAGAGACATGAAAACAGTTCCTGGAATCATGAATGTTTGCATGAAAATGTAGACTGTGCAATACCCAACAAGCACCTGGATTGTGTAGTCACATGTGTATCTCTCCAGATTATCCCTGAACAAGAATCACAAAAAAGAGAGAAATCAAAACCCATTAATATGAAAATGTATTCACGATTAATCCAGATGCATGGAGACATTTCTTTGGTGGAATTTTAGGGTGTTTGAAATCTCAATTTAAATTGGAAATGAAAAGGGGGAAAACGAATACCGGAGGACATGGAGATCTTCAAGCGTTCTTGGAAGCTTGAGGAAGGTGTAGTCAGAATCCGGCAAGGAGAGATAAACTCCGATGAGACTAACAGCGAAACCCAAAACGACGGCGGATGCACCCGCCATCTCCCCATACGTCAATACAAATTTGGATGGCATTGCCGATGATTTCACTGTATTTTCCCTGTAATCATCATTCGATGTCGTTGAAGAAGAACAAGAAGAAGAATTATCCGATGTTTCAACCCGCCGTTGCTGTTCCATCGAATTGAATTCTTCTTCTTAGTTTCTACTTCAAAATCTGAGAATCTCCAGGGAAATTGAAGATTTGATCATTAAAGTAATGAGGATTTTGTTTTGAAAATTAAATAAGCACCCAATATTGAAGGCAACGAATTAAGATATAAGAATGAACCTAACACGTTTCTTCTACGATAACCTGTTATGGTAACCTCTTTTTTTTTTTTTTTTACCGAATTTAGTTCAAAAAAATATGCGCGCAGAATATAAATTAAAAAAACAAATTCTACAAACGAAAATGACTTTGTAATGCAAGTAACTATCATCTTTGTAGGTAATTAGTTATTTTTTTTATATTATTTTACCATTAAGAATATCATTTTGTTTGTTTAGGGAAGACTTTTTTCTTACATCATCAAGATCTTTATATTTGAATAAGTAGTGCCCAGGGATTAGTTCTATTATATCACCATCTCTGATTGATAGCTTTTGTCCAGATAATAGCTTCATCCTTTGATCCTCTGATCTAATGACAACTGGGTCTGTTCCTTCATACAAGCACATACCTTATGTCATAATTACTACATTTATTTCTTCAGTGGTCCTGTTCTCTGTTCTCATGATATGCAGTTTGAAACAAGTTAGCGTTTTCTATTATTGCAGGTACACCTTGATTATCTTGAAGCTGGTGAAGATATAATAATCACAGCATCTTATCAAGTAACTCAATACCCCTCACCCCATCAGCATCAATACTCTTTCTTTCTCTCATGTTTATACTATTTTTTTTTTTTGCTGATAAATGTTCTTATACTCTTGCTCTTTCTCTCAATTTAATACTATTTTTTGACAGACAACAATTCAAGGGTTTGAAGCTAAAGGCTTCTCTAAAGAGGAAAGTGAAGCTCTGCTTAAAAAGAGTGTAGATATTGCCCTTGAAGCAAGATATATATATATATATA